GCCCAACGAGCCGGTGACCATTGCCGCAACGGGGAAGGTGTGTGTGTAGTTTTTACGCCTCTTCTTGGTTGGTTTGGAATCAGGTTTTTTGGCCAACTCTCCTAAGTGAACTACCAGTGGTCCACCAACCTGGTATGTTGGCTTTTCGTCCCCTCACTTTTGTGGGAAAACACCTCCGCCACGAGACGGCAGTGATTAGGGCTTCCTCAGTAGGCTGTTTGAGACAGTTGGTGGTATGGGAGCATTTCGCGAGGTGCACAGGAAGGGTGACCAGGCACTCACCTTACTGGGGATTTCGGATATTTATGTACATATATCGTCCCATTAGACCACCAACGAACATTTTGAATAGAGCAAAATGTAGCGAACAAGAATTGGTGTCAGTGATTCGTCTTTTTTGGCAAATGCATCACAATTTACATAACTCGATTAAAATACAGGAGGGAGGAGATATTGCTTACAAAAAATGACAATAATAAATTAATAAACTTGAAGGAATATAAATAATATTTACTGTCTCCGGTGTGGTGCTTAGTCCTGATTTGCCGAAGATTGGGTGAAAATGGGTTGGGTTGAAGGTCATGGGAGACAATGTCTTCAGAAATTGCTTTTGCGCACACAAGGGTGGATTGTGAATGCGAATTCCTACTGCTTCCGCTGTGGCCAGGATGCGATGTTTAATCAGCTAAGATTGTCGTTAACAAACCTGTTATAGGGGCAGGGGGGGGACGCTCTGGTCAAGTTCAGTAAATGACCTGAATCAGCAAGGTGCGAACAGATTACACTCCTAATTGATTTTATCACCCCAGTGTGCAATCAAGCCGGGTGATGCTCGAAGTCAAGCGTCTGCTTGTGCGACCGATGTACGTTGTTCCAGAGGAACAAGTGAAAGAGTAAGATAGCCGAAACAGGAACTTTATCTTCGAGCTGCCGCCTGAGGACCGGCCTGGGTGCGAATGTGACACGCGATTTAGCTGCACAGAAAGTTTAACTGATCACTGTTGTCAACATTCGAGTAACTTTCCGTCATAATGTCAACTGTAAATGGCGGTTTTGTGTAAACTTGTTTCGTTTATACTCCAGCAATTCCCCCCTCGTTTGTCTTGCGTTTTGGTATGCTACCCGCAAATCGATCCGGGTATCTATTTTGTTGGAAGACCTGACACAGGAATTCTGATCCTTTCTGACACATATCAGCCCAACAGATTTTTTGAGCTCTTTTAGCGAGATATTGAATCAAGTTTCGCTTTCCTTTGAGAGGTACGAAGCGTTGAAGATGAATGTACTGGCCCGACCACATGCTTCTTTTATTCACCGAGCGTTGGATAGACCCCTCTTCACGACGTTTGAGGCAAACTTCAAGAAATGCTATCTGGTTGTCAGTTCCCCCTCTAGAGTAACCTTAATATTTCGTCCATGAAACAGTTTTTTCTTTGTATATTTTGCATTTTTCTATGGGAGCTATGAGGGCGTTGTTTTCTAGCATTGCAATGAAGGCGTCTACAAATAAGGGTCTAGTGGGGAGCTCATTGCAATGCCATCCTTCTGACGATAAATAGAATCATTGAATTTGAATTGCAGGTTATATGTGTAAAATAAAGTAACTGCTTTAAGTTCTCATTCGGGATACTGATGATGATATTATTTATATAGATGTAATCCTTTAAGCAATCGATCGTTTCTTCAATGGAAACATTAATGAATAGTGAGGTTACATCGAGGGAAAGCATTTGCAATCCGGCCACATTTATGTCCTGAATAGAATCCACCAGATCAAGCGAATCTCGTAGCGTATGCTTCAGTAATCCAGTCTTTATAAGTTCCCTCCCTTATTTTATCCGAGTTATATAAATTGTGATGTATTAGCCCAAGAAGACGAATTACTGAAAAGGAGTCTTGTTCGTTATATTGTTTTATTGAATATATATAAACACCAATCTTTACAGATACGTCGCCAAAATAACCATGGGCTTAAAGCAAAATATAAGAACAGGAGGGGGGGGGACAAGTAAACAGGCAACTTGGGGAATAACAATTTTTTTGTTTGTTCACTGCACGCCATTTTGAGTTTTAGTTTTAGTTTATTTTTGGGATCACACACAAGAAAGGATGCATTCACGCCACTAACTTTGGTTTGGTGCCATATCCCACAGTGCCTCCAACCAAAGTCAGTATGAATCTTTGGGGCCCCAGCCGGGGGACCGGGAAGCCCAACGGAAGCCAGATCTGGGCACAATCTCTTTAACTCCCTACGCTACGTCATATCCCGCCCACCTCACTGTTTCTTCCAGCCGCGAAAAGTGCACGGTGTGGCAGACGTTGCTCATTCATTCTTAGGATGTGCCCAAGTCACCTCAGACGGTGCAGTGAAATTATTTTGCTCCATGGAAGACTGTCTGATCCACACACACACACACACACACGTCATTTGACCTCATCGTTATTCACGCGATGCTCCCACCATACGCGGGCAATGCACAAGCTCTTTCAATGAAAGGAATATGTCCCACCGGCATCAGAAATGCTGCAGGTTAGCTAACGCTAGTCTAGCTTTATTCACGCGTTGAGAGATCTCGCCCACACCTCCGTCAACCGTTATACAACTCCCGAGGTAGACAAAGCTTTCGACTACTTCCAGGGTATCTTTATGCCTACGGGTCGTCTGGCCTCTACCCGTTGATCTTTCAGACATGATTGGATCTACGGCTATGAAAAGCCATCCTGTGTAGCTCGCAGGACCATGAAGGCACGCAAACCATCACACCACGTCAAGGTAGATCTCAGTAAAAGAAAAATACCGATTGCCACCTCACGTAACTCTGCTTTCCCTTTCTCGAGACCGCTGATCGCACCGATGTTATATGTTCACGGGTAGTTGGCTTCATCAAGAGTCTGAAGGATAATCGCGAGAAGTGGTGGATGGGAAAGTGTAGAGAGATGGAGAAGGCTGCGACCATTGGCAATAGTCGCAATCTTTTCCATCTAATTAGGAATACGGGCTATAGGAAAATAGGCGTAAGTGAGGTAATTAGGGAATCCGATGGCACACTGATTCACGATCAGCAACGTCGTCTTGATCGATGGACTGAACACTTCAAGGCTTAGTTCAACTGGCCCCTATCGACATCTGGTATTTCACCCTCCACCTTGACTGGGCAAATACTGCCAGTTGATGCTAGTCTTCCATCTGAAATGGAACTTACCGGAGAAATGAGTTATCTCAAAAGGCATAAGGTTCCCGGCCCAGACGGGCTGTCCTCATCGGTTTGTAAGGATGGAGGTTCAGTCTTGGTTTTGGATTTAACAAAACTTTTGGGCTCAGTTTGGGAGAGGAAAGAAGTTCCTGCTGAACGGTGTGAATCGGTAATCATACCGATTTACAAGCCAGGTCCTTCTGTAAAATCCACAGAGGAATTAGTTTAATAAACATTGTCTCTAAACTTCTCGCTGGTATCATACTCCGTCGATTGTCTGCCGCACGTGAACGGTGCACGCGCGAGAACCAGTCTGGTTTCAGACCTGATCTAGGTTGTATCGACCACATCTTTACTTCTCGCCAAACTCTGGAGCACCAAAATTCTTTTCTTAGACCCACCATCTTTCTTCCTGGATCTGAAAACGGCTTTCGACTCAGTCAACCGCTCTAAACGCTCGCGCTGCCTTTCTGAAAGGTGTGCCTGGGAAGTTAATTTCATTAATACGATCCCTCTATACTAATAACCGAAGCCGAGTCTGAGCTTACGGCACGTTTTCACCCGAGTACACCACGGAAAGTGGTGTTCGACAGGGTTTCCCTCTCTCTCCATTTCTATTCAACTTTGTTATAGATTTGATTATGGAAACAGCCTTATCCTCGTGCGAGGATAGCGTGTCCATGTTTGGTATGCGTTTTGCATCTTCAAAGTGTAAGGTGCTACTACAAGACTGGGTTGGTCCAGCACCAAGCCTCACTCTAACTGGGGAAGTAATAGAGCAAGTGGATAAGTTTGGTTATCTGGGCAGCTACATCTCACCCGGTGGACGCATCACGGATGAATTGTCTACTCGCATACAGAAGGCTCGGTTGGTATTTGCTAACTTGAGACATTTGTGGCGCCGTCGCGACATCCGGCTGTGTGTGAAGGGTCGAGTGTATGCTGAAGCAGTTCGGCCAGTTCTACTATACAGAGCAGAGGCTTGACCATTAAGAAAACAGGACAAGGATATACTGTCGATGTTTAAACATCGCTGTCTATGCAGCATTGCACGAATCTGGTGAGGCAGCCGGGCGAGGTCAGGCACAAAGTTTTAGGCAACCGCGGTCGCCCACTGGAGCAAGTAGTCGATTACGTTGGTTGGGGCATGTGTTACGCATGTCACGAAATAGGTTGCCACGGCAAGCGATGTTTGCCGAGGCAGGTAGTGGGTGGAATAAAACCCAGGGCGGTCAAGCTAAGACCTGGCATGAGGGTATGAAAACCCTAACCAGCAGTCTGGGTCATATAGGTCCCGTTAGGCTCCCTGGCTGGGGACCTTGGGATGGTCGTAACCGATGGTTAAAGACACTGAGTGATATGGCTTGGTGTCGTAAACAGTGGCGTTTGTGCATCTTCTCAATTCCTCTGCTTCATTAGTCCACTGAAATTTTCAATTCTCTCTTTGATCCTACTTTCAGCCTTCCTGTTTTGCTCCTATTAGTCATCCAAACGGGCAGCCAAAAAGCAGCAACCAAAATCGTCGCACGGAAATGCATGCCTAATGGTTGTTTAAACTGAACTGAACTGACTTGGATTCGAAGTTTTTCATGACATTCGTATGTTTTAACATGAATGATATTCAAGAAGGAATTTGAATAAGTTTACGTCTTTGACATGTACGCTTGTTGCACTGAATTTCTAGGTATAAAATTTCTGAAAACGTTTGCATACTATTCAAAATATACTTTTCATTCATTCTATCTCTTACTTGTGAAAGAAACGGTTTTTATCCCGTAATGTGTACTTTTTCTTATCCAATTTAGCGAAATCGTTCTAGAAAAGTCTTTGTCCTACTGGGATTTGACTTCTAATTCTCTTCGGCGGTACGTACATCACGGAACTATGCTTCGGTTTGGCCGAAAGTGCAGTTCGCAAGAAGAAAGCGAGTTCGAGATTGTTCGTTCTTGCGAATCAGTGAGTTTTGATTTGGCGTTCAATTCCTCATCATGTTCTAGTCTAAAGACCTTGAGAAACAAGTGGATATCGAGCAGGAGTCACGGGTACAACAATCCCCATCCGAAAAGCGTTCAACTTCTGATACAACCCTTAAACCAGCGTGGAACGACGAAGACGATGCCGTTGTAATTGAGGATTACCGGTATCTTGTCGATGTTTACTCTTTGATGCAAACAGTCCCATACCCGTCTTAGATGTTCGCAGTAAAAAAAGAAAACAAGAAGTGGAAGGGGCTTCAGATGCCGAAGATTCTGACGCCGAGTTTGGCGTTCATTGTACTAGAAAAATACTCCGGGATGAGGCATCGCCATTTCTACCAGAGACAAAAACGATCGGCATTCGAAGAGTATTTGATGCCAATCGCGAACGTATCTCCTTGGGGCCCTTAAGTTCTGTTGATTTTAATCCCGTCTTTCAAATGCTTCTGACAGCCAGCGAAGATAGTACGTTGGCCATGTTTAAGGTGAGTTGTCAGTGTAATTTCAGATTTCTCTCTTTGTATCATTGCTTTTTGAAACAATGTTGTATAAACCCGTAAACTACGTGTGAGATATTTTTATGAAACATAATTCACAAGACGCTGATCCTATTGTTTTTGCATTAGAAGATTTGCATTTTTGTTACAAAAGCGAAAATAAAAAGGTTTATGCGTTTCAGATGCCCAAGATAACATTACGGTACTTGTAAGAAAAGATTTGACGAGAGCATTCGGGCAATTCGGGTCATCAACTGGTGGGGAATAATAATAAGGATAAGGGTAACTGCTTAAAGTTGGCAGCACTATCGTTCGGTTCGTAGCCACACCTCTCCTACCAGGACCTTGCGATTCGATATTCCGAGCGCCAGGGCTGTTTGTCGTTTTTCATAAGTAAACAGTGGGTCCTCGTGACCGGAATTTTTCCGTTCTACTGTTCCTCACACAGTGATACTCGATCTTGTAGATTCAGCCTTGAACAGTTATCTTGGTTTGATTTGAATACATGATGTATTCTTGAGTGTTTAAGTTATTAGCTGAAGTTGATGTTCTTGCTTTCTTTTAATTCGATAACAAAACTTAAATTGTGATAAAATACTTAGACGTTGATAATCTGGCAACTTTTTCTGTCCTTGTGTAACAGGTAGACGGACGGGAAAATGCTGTTTTACGGGATCGTGTATTTGAACAGTTTCCTCTATCTTCAGCGAAGTTCACAGTTCAAGGTGACCGTGTCGTCTTCACTGGTAATCGCAACAGCTTCCGAGTAAGCGTTACATATTTTCTGTTTACAATCTGGACACGGTGCTATTGATTAAACTAATCTTTACTTTGGCTTGAATTTGCTTCGACATTCCAATCTACATTTTGTTCTTTTATCCACATGGGCAACCAAAAGACAGCAACCAAAACCGGCGCACGAAAGTGCATGGTTAATGGTTGTAAAAACTGAAACTGAAACTATTGAATCTTTCATGCGGAAACTTGATGAAACCCTGGTACACCTCACATTCCTATATAACTAAAACTAAAAGCTAATTCGTTCAAGATTACATTATCTGTTAGCTCCTACCTGGAAGTCTGTGTGACAATTGATTTGTTTTTGACCGAGCAATTATTTAACTGTAAATATCCTATGGGGACACGAGAAGCATGAGTTTGTAACTAATTCCCATAGTAAAACTTTGACTTTTGACACACAGGGTGTATAGTGGAAAAAGTCCATCGATACATTCTCCTCGATCTGAAAGTCTCAGAAACAAGCCTATCAGTTACAATAGTTCTCTCGCTTTCGTCTACTCATGGCTATCGGTATACTTATGTCTGTGTTTCCTTTCTTTTATTTCAACGGTTCACACTTGCTTAGTGAACAGAAGTAATTCGTCACATTTTGCACATCGTTTACAAATTGGTGTCTGAGGCTTTCGGACAGTTTTTACAATTCATGTTCCTTCTGTGGTACATTTGTTTGAATTTCTATTCGGAATCGCATAGTAACAAAAAGAGTTTTTGTATAGTTTTTTTAAACTTCTTTTGTGGAGAAAATACGCGCTCATCCTGTTATCATCCGAAACTGTTTCGTTTAACGGTCCGTGGATAGGTGCTTCATGAAACTCAGTACTAGTAATTCCCGGAATATACCAGCGACACATTGAATAAAAAACGCAGTTTAGCGAAAAACCTTTTTTTCGGTGACTCATCAACTGGTTAATACGTCACAGTTTATATCACATCATTTTGTTTAGAAAAGAGGAAACAAAATTACTGATTATTCAAATAGGGATTGTTGTTATTGTTTTGGATCCAGTGAGAGCCACCCTTGCAACCCACACTTTACCGGACTCTTTCGCCTTGATAGATGCAATCAGAAAGGTAAATGTGAATGGCCAACGAATGATATCCATGGACGTTAGCTCACTTTTCACTAGTGTTCCTATCGCAGAGACCATGGATTATTTATGTAACCAAATCCAGGAAAAGAATATCGAAATTGCAATACTTCTGGATGAAGAAATCTATCACCAAAATGATGGAGTCGCAATGGGATCCCCGCTCGGTCCCATATTTGCGGATTTATTCATGTCCCAGCTAGAAAATATTGTTATGAAGTCCACGATTAAGCGATATTAGCTGTACAGACGATATGCCGATGACATATTATGTTTTGTGGAAAGTAACGTCAAAGTGTCCAACTTGCTCAGGATATTTAATTCCGCTCATTCCAACATCAAGTTCACATTAGAAGAAGAGGTCAATGACGGGATTGGTTTTCTCGACATCTGGCTAAAGCGTCGCACAGATGGTTCTATTCAGAGACCGATTTATAGGAAACCGACTTGGAGCGGCCAGCATCTCCATTTCAGAAGCTTTATACCACTCAAGCGAAAAAGAAACCTTATTCAGTGTTTGGCAAACAGGGCGGTGAAAATATGCACTAAAGACACCATAAATGCGGAAATATCATTCATTCTTGGTGTTTTCCTACAAAATGGTTATCCAGAACGTTTTTTAGATAACGTTTTGTGAAATAACCGTCAGAAGGGAAGACTTTTAAGCACAGAGAAGAAGCCAATATACATTTCTCTCTCATTGAAAGTGAATACAATCGCAGAATTGATTAGCCGCAAACTAGGAACTGTGTTGGAGAATACTTTTCACGCGACAAAATTACGTATCGTATTCACGTCTAGGCCGGTCTTGTGTTCGCAACTGAAAGACAGGATTCCTGCTTCTGCAGTCTCATTTTGTGTGTACCAGTTTACGTGTTCCTGTGGAGCAACGTATATCGGCTATACGAGCAGGCGCCCATGTACACGACTTCGGGAACATCATCCGGTCTGGCTGAACACTGATTAAAACTATTACAAGTGCCATCGTTTCACACCTCGTCGAGTCCGATCACATAGTGAGTGTGACTGAAGCATTTCGGCCTCTGTACTGCGTTCGGGATCGCAGATCAAACTGATTAAAAACCGCATCCTAGCCACCGCAAAGGCGGTTGGAATTCGTCCACATAATCCCCCCTTGTGCGCCGAAAAACAGTATGTGAAGTCACTCAACCTACCAGGGCCCTTCACCTCCCTCATCCTCCTCATCCTCTCCCACCTCCTCCACTCCCACCCCCCGAAATCACACAATTAACACTGACCAAGCTTAAGTTCCGATTGGCAAGATCGGTTTTGTGAAATTGGGGCAGAAAACAATAACAACAATCCCTATTTGAATAATCAGTAATTTTGTTTCCTCTTTTCTATACAAAATGCTGTGATATAAAATGTGACGTATTAGCCAGTTGATGAGTCACCGAAAAAAAGGTTTTTCGCTAAACTGCTTTTTTCACTCAGTAGTATTCGTTGATTACTCGAGTCTGATGCTAAACTTAAGATACTCAAGGAGTCCCTTAAACGTCACACCTTTTCCTCAGATAGTCGTGGAAAATTCATTAAAAAGCAGGGATAATGCGAAGAAGTCTTTTTGGCGATTTGTTCTCAGGTTTCTGCAACTATAAAGTCAATATATGGGGCGCTGTGTTATCTAATTTACCAAATGTTTAACCTGAGCCAACACGACCCGGTATGTATGTCTCGAGGTGCGAATTTTTCATTGTGGCACTTTTTACCGGTGGTCCCAGTATTTACTTCGAATGATGGTCTTGCTAGTTAAGTGTATGGATACACACTTCTCGTCGTTCATTCAAGCGGCACACTAGTTTCTCTTATCAAGTGCCACATACTCGTCTATTCCAAATAAAACCCAGTCCCAGTCAGTCAGACACTAGATATTTAGCCAGGTTCATTAACAGAACAATGCAGTGACTTCAAAACAAGTAACGTGGCCGAGCCTGCACATAAACGGGTTGAAATCTCTGTATATTCACTTAGAGTATAATAATCCATCCAAACCAATAAAACTGATATATACTGTGGTCAGTAGTCTAAGGATATAGAACCAAGATTACGGGGTTCATGAAGCAGATTTATTTTTTGTGCGGTGATATATCAGTTGACCCTATTTCATTTATATACCAGTTCATAAGAGCGATAGTTAAGCGCAAATCCATTCCAATTTAAATCTAGTCGGTCTGGTTGTAGTGTGGTCAAGTGAAACACTGATTGATCATCATGGCTGTCCCAAAACAAATTCGATGTTTACATGACTGCTGCGGCTCCGGGCCATTGGATGTGCGACCCTGAGCTCGATTGAGCACTGAAAAGTGTTGGACACTTTGGGTCTGTGAGCCCTGTCTGGAGGGGTTATGATCCAACTGACGAGACACTAGATGCACTGAACTGCGGATTTAAAGTGTGGCCCGGGGTGAGATACCTCAAGTCAATCCTCTACTCTGTTTTGAGCGATGGCTTACAAGTTGGGTACGCCATCACGACGAGACTACACTTTGATGTAGTGTGACGGCTTGTGCACCTCTATGACCCAACGAGCTACACAGGATGGCTTTTATCAAGCCAGATCTCATCATGTCTGGAAGTCCAATGGTTAGAGGTCAGACGAAGTCCAGTCTCTTGCTCCTCCAGGTTGGGTGTTCGACTGAAATTTGCGTTTCAGTCGGTAAAAAATGGTGGAGGAGTAATCGATCCAAGTAAATGGTCCTCCACTGCGCTCCTTGCGGTTAGGTTCTTTTTAGAACTAAAGGCTTTGGACGAAAACCCCAATCGTTTTCCTGCTTAGTGGTTGGACACCCTAGCAGTACCCGTCCATTAAACCCCAATGCGTACACAAACTATAAATGATCCTATACTGCATCGGTCGTGGCGCAGGATAATCAGGATCGCGCTGTCCATTGCATCGAGCGGGGTGGATAGTGATAAGTGGGCTACTGCTCAGATATCACAACCTTTGTTTAATTCTTTGTCTTCAACAGCAAACCCTCTCCATTTGCCCCTTCTTCCGATGTGTAGTAGTCCCTCAAACAACTTGGATGTCGCTCGCCAAAGGTCGTTGTCAAACAGCATTATAAGTAACACACCACGAAATGAATTGCAGATTCTAAAGCCTCATCAATCACTGAATCTGGGGGGCTTCAGCGCGAGGACTCTGATACAGGTAGGTCAACAATCTTGTCTGGCGCGTACAACGGAATGCTTCGGGATTGATATTTACTGCGTGTCGGAGACTCGAATCCAAGATCCTAGTGCTATAAGCCGCTTTGGTGCGCCAGATTTGTCCTCGAGGTACATTCTTCGCACGCCAGGCGACGATAAAGCCCATTCAGTAGGTCAGCGCGGGATAGGTATTGTACTCAGTAACAGGGCGGACTCCTCTCTTACCGATTGGATCCCCGTCAACAGTCGTTTATATGCAGTGCGTCTCCAGGGCTAACGCAAATGGACCACACAGCAGTAAGCTGCCGTTGGAGTGGCTCAGTGCAAAACTGCAGGTCCTATTGGACCACCTGCGTTGAGTCTGACCACGCATTATTTTTGATGGAGTTCACTCTCCGATTGACTGGTCGGCGACAAAACCAGCGAACTCAGATAGCTCACCATCGACTATCTGTTCCAGCAGTTCGTGCACGCTATGAATCAGAGCTAGTACGTGGGCTAAGCGCACCTCAACCTGCTGATGTACATGGGCAGTATGATCAGATTAGGCAAGCAATGTGTTATTGTTGTGATTTCTTATCAGACCAGAACGTTCGAAACGATATGTATGCAGAGTTGGATTGTGCACTCTGTGTTGACCATGGTGGTTCACCTTCATCTTCCTCTCACAAATTCCTGCCCACTTTAAATTTTACCACTAACCTTGTATGCATTGCGACTTTGGCAGCGATCAGTGAAGTTCGCCTCACTGTATCTCGCTGTACAATGATGATGAAGTTGGGTGTATGGACCGCTGGTCGCATGATTGCTTTGTGGAGTTTGCGACTGACAGGTCTTTGTTTGACTAGTCTCATGTATACTTTATTGGATTTTAAACAATCGTGATCATTCAGCTCTTTTCGATTCACTTCGTGGGACGGTGACTCACAGTACTGGCAATAAAAACATTCATATCTAAGGTGTTCAGAACTTTTTAACCTACTTTATGTACTGTAGGCATCTTGCCTGTTTATGGGAGGCAAATAAATAAATGAATATGCATACATGTAGGTGTTCATCTTTTGTGGTGCGGGCATTTTTAAAAGGGAACAAGTTTCGAAAACCAGCATTATTTGTTTGTATTGATTTATGATGTTTGTTGTAATCGGCTCATCACATTTATTCATTCAAGGATTTTCACTCTCATTTTAGATCTATGATCTGCAGACAGGGTCCGAAACACGTGCCAGCCCTTTTATCGGCTCAACACCGGATCAGATATTGAGTAATTGCCAAGTATCTCCCGGACAACCAAACCTAGTGTCCCTACAAAACGGGGCTAATAAGGTGTACATGGCCGATTTACGGGTCAGTCCTTTCTCTGCTGTTTTGGGATGAGTTTGCTGTGATTGTGTAATCTTTTAACCAGTCCGACGTGTTTTCGAGTTAATTGCAGAGTATACACCGTACGCAACAAATTCAAACCGGGTGATCTATCCTCAGTTTCCTATGGCGACGATCCCAACTTTTTCAGTCTCATCTGTTCATTTTATGATTATAACCTAGGCAGCCTTACAATACATCTACTTTGAGTTGCTTTTTAGCTACTCCAAAGATTTTGGCCATGGATGATGTATTGTACCCGAACATCACTAGAGAAAACCAAACCAACGGGACATTTTCTTCTCAAATTGACACTTCGGTGATCTCATTCACAAAGACTAGATTGTTCATTGCATAGATCACAGATTGTCGCCACTCACATCAGCTTAGCAATGGTCTTAACAAATTGATTTTGCTAATTCTTCGAGGGATATTGATGTATGAGGAAATTAGCTTGTCTTAGCCACGACGAACGAAAAAACCAAAACGCAAGGCGTTAGTGACAACGTTTCGACCCTCTTGGAAGGCCTTTCTCAAGTTGTTTAATCGGTTAATCTCACGTTACAAGCAATTGTAAGGCGATGGGATGATGATATCATATAGAGCTGGGATGTGATTCGAACATACGTGCATACAAGCTCATTTCCTCAAAAATCATGAGTATGACGCCCAAGTTTTCCAGTGAGATCTGTTCCATTCATGGATCTCGTGTGATATTAAATTATTTTTTACTTTTTTTGGTTTAGCCTACTAATTTATAATCAATTTTAATTGTGTAACCCATTTGCTTCACTCATTGTTCTAGTAAAGATGCACTTACTGCAACCGAAAACGGCGAATATTTAATCTCTGCATGGCATTTTTCATGCCATTAACTTATGTCCTAAACGTTCCATTCAGAAATACATATGAAGCGTTGATTCAACAGTAATCTTGTCAAACGGTATAATTATTCGTTTCCTTCGCAGTTAAGACTAATGAGACACTTCTAACAGTTTGAGAATGGAGTTCCAGGGGAGAGTGGGAATATCAATGTGCGTTTATAAGCCCCACTTTGTTTCATTGGACATTGTAAATTGATCCAAAGTTTTGCGATCCGGACGGCAGATTTTTCATCAAATTCAGTCCGTTCCAAATTGTGTTCGTTCATGATAAGTTGTCCTTGTAGCTTTGTGCGAGTGAGTCCTTTTAGGTGATCTTGCAACTGTTTATCCAAATATTTTTTATCTATTAGTAACAGAATCCAATTGGTAAAATAGGTGGTTGCTATTCTTATACCTTATACAGGTGGATTTGATTACATTGTATGTTGTTTTGTTCAAAATCGTGTTTTTACTCTCATTACAGAGCCTTGAAAGAATTTCCACTCTACACGCACGAGGTCCGATTCGTTCAACTTGTTTCCTCAAAGATGGGACGTTTTTCTACACGCTGGACTGTAAGCACGACAGTAACGGTGTCCTTTTGTTCAATATTTCGTTTGTTCTACCACCGCGCAGAAGAAACCATTTCATGGTTTTACTGTGGCGTTTCATGTTTGATATGACCCTTAGGAATGGCAAGCAAATGATTGTACCACTTATGACCTTTCTGTCGGGAAACTGCGTGTCGTCCACAGAATCACCACGATTGTTTTTTGAGGTTACCTGATCTCAAAATAACTTTCTGAGTTGTAAATTGAAGATATCGCATTGAAATTCACGTTGGTACTTCAGTCCTGAGAATGACCATGTGTTATGGTACACTCTTGAATCTGTACCACTAAATTGATGCTACTGACAAAGTATCAGTAGCTGAAACATAAATGTGTCAAGTACATTCACCGAGCCCTAAATGTTTTTATAGCTACCATTAACGGCAGCACTGCTATTGTCGAGTTGATTATTTATGATGCCCATCGTTCACGTTAAGTTAGATTACTAGTTTCCTGGCATATGTGAGAACGATGCTGGAGTCAAGAAAAAATGATTTTGACAATATGTCACCAAGTGAATATGCCAGCAGCAATGTGACATCACGTATACTTGGTGCCTTGCACGTATTGGTTGTGACCTCCCCACAATTCAATCACATTTGACACCCCCCCCCCCCCTAAGGATGCTGAATTACCCCGCATGATGAAAGATGATGCATATGAGTTGTGCCAATGACGTATTGAGTGTTTCGTGAATGACTGAAAACTGAACGAACATAAATGAAGCCATCTTTCGAGTAGAGACCAATCAGAGGCGTAGGTAAACTTTCTTCCAAACTCTTATTTTTCCACTGGTGGAGGAGAGTAGTTTCATGAGTATTTTCCTTAAACAATTCAAGTGCTCCATACTTTATCGTTTCTATTTGACTATTATCTGAAACTGATGTGATAGCCTCGGCTGACAGCACAATTAATCCGGATGAAAATCTTATTTTATCAATCGACACATTTCAATCGGTCTATTACGATTGTACGATCACGTTGTCCATCGAAGTGAAAAACGTTGTTGAACACAGACAACCGTAATCCGATCATAAACTGATCCCTAGGTGATGTTGTGTAATGTTGTTTCCGGGAAAAGTATGATGATTAATTTTTTCGTTTTCACTTAGTACTTCATACATTAGTAATATCCAAAACAGAGTAACAGACTTAAACGGTTTAACTTTGTTCTTGCCCGTCAATGTTTGTTTGTCCGAGACGATATATTGAAAAATGTCCTAAGTGATTTCCGCTATGTTTTCGCTGAGTAGGCAGCTGAAGGAAAGCTGTGCGAATCAGAGTACGCTGACCTCATCATTTGAAGGACTACCATGTTCTGTTGCTTATTTTGGTATGCTTTTTGCAAGTTCAAAGTGCAAAGTGATGTTACATACTGGGCATTAACTACCCCTGTTTTTAAACTAAATGATCAGTCATTTGCTGAATTTGACTGCGGGATGAGTGACAGTAGAGCAGTAAAGGAGGTGATCATGCATCTTTCCCAACGCGTGAACAGCGTACTCAGGACTCAAAAGCCTTTGGCTTCGAAGTGGCGTTTCGTCGAATTCAGAAGGCCACCTGCATTGCAAACACATGCGGTCAGTTTTGCTTTATGGTTGTGAGACCGTTCTAAGGTGGAGAAAGTCGCGTACTGGTCAACAAATGATATGGAGACGAGGCTTGCAGAAATTCACTGAAAGGCTAGGTATAGTAGGTGACTCTCATCTAGATTTGGGCCAATGGGCTATAAGAAAAGTGGATTGAAAATGATGAAAATTATGGCAACGAACATTTACAATGGGTCCAATTAATAGATTCTTATGGGACAATAGAATTTGTAGATGGGGAAAAACTGGCAGGTGTTCCACTCCTTGCCTATCACGTAGGCAAAGGAGAACCAGAAACCAGCCGTGTAGGACTAGTCACTTGATGACGGTGACTATTTGTCTAGGCCCTGCGATGTTGAACAAAAGTAATAGAGGTAAGTTAATGCGACACAAGCTCAGATGAACAAAATTCGAAGTAAGAAAGAAAGGAGAA